AAATGAAAAGAAGCGATAAAATGTATGCCTTATGTGAAAACTAGGCATGATGGCATTTTATTAATTGGTATTTGTGGATTCTTGCTCTAGGTGTACCTAGGGACTAAAAAGGAATCAGAATCTCTTGAAGATATAAAAGTAACTTGTGCAACAAGTAAGGGTATTGGTAAAGCTTCAAGAGGTAAGCTCTATGTTTAAGGAGTTTTTTCCTGCTTGAGTGCTCCACCATGGTTAGTGAACTATGGTTGGACTGTATGATTGTGATTTAGATGCTTTGTATAGATGCATTCATATAGAGTTATTTGATAACATGATATGTTTTGCTTTGATATGACTTCTGTAATATGATTTCTGTAACAATCTCTGGCCATTGATTGTATAGTACCCAGATGTCTGCTTTGGGGTCCTCCCTCGGGACTGATGGTGTACGCCTCTGATATGTCTGGTTCCGCTTTGGGGTCCTCCCTCGGGAACACGTGCGTTGATTTCCGCTTGGGGTCCTCCCTTGGGAATGACGGTGCACATCTCTGATATGATATGGATATATGCTCTGTTCTGTTATGATATCTGTTATATGTTGTATTTGTATACTCTGTATCTGATTTCATGCAGGAGTGAGCCAGGGGTATGGAGAATTCTCTATAAACCTGGAGCTTATTGAGATTTGTAATCTCACCCCTCGTTGGGGACATATTTTCAGGTGCCCAGATTCCCGGTGAGTCCTCACTAGGCAGGGACGCGACACGTGGCTGAGGCAGTTGACGGATTGGATTTTGAGTGGCCGTAGGCTACTACTTTTTGGAAGTATATTAATGTCATTTTGTATTTCCGCCTTTGATGGATCATGACATTGATCCTTTATTTTGTATATGGCCTGTATATGTTTTGTACATGTATGTCAGTTTGATGCATGTACATTTGAGTATTCAGGAACGTTATATGATGATGTAGTATTCAGATAGGTTTACGTTTTGCTGGCATGTTGTTAGATATAGTGGCACGGAGCCATGTTATGCATGCGCCCATGTATGGGTATTTGATTATATTTGGATATCTGGTATTTCTGAATTGATATGTTGTATAAACTGTTTATCAGGAAATGCTTCTGAGTGGGATTGGAAAATCCCCAGTTGTCCGATTTATAGAGGAAACTCTGCCCGATTTTCGTTTACGCCGAGTAAGAATTAAGTTAGAAAAAGAAAAAGTTAGCTCATATTTTCGTAAGTTAAGTCTTCCGCTGTTTCTGTTTATATCATGTGTATGTTAATTGAACCGGCTCGAGACGGGGATGTTACACATTACTTAATCGACCCCACTTCCTATATATATTTCATTCGGATTAAATTGATAAATAATTTGTCAAAAAAACTAAACATATAATATTTTTTAGATTCTACATTCACATTGCACACACCTCTTTTCACATTTAATTATTTATTTACTTGTGTCTTGCATGACATGCTGCATACATGTTGGGTAGTATTTTTCTCAAAAGAAAGAGTTATCGTTTTCAGGGAACAGGTTGTTTAGTTTTCCTTTTTAATTCCAATCTCTAATTTCTTGAATTTAAGTAATCAATCTTTTAAAACTAAGAAAATTCTAAATGAAACAAGGTATTTATCAGACTTGCATTAAACAAAATTTAACAGAGGAATATCTAATCACAAATGTATCAATTATAAGGTTCTGGAATTCTTTGAATCATGGATGAAGGAAAAATTTCGCATTCCTGCGTTTTATAACTGCTACGGCACTTTAGTATCAGAATTTGAATTACTATGGCTATTTTATCTGAAACTTCGCAGTTCCAGATTTTATTCTTTAGAAGGATCTCTTCCCAAAGTCTTCTAAATCTTCAAAAATTATATCAAAGACCTCCTTGGGTTATCCCTAACCTCAAGGGTTCAATTAACAAGGGACATAACCTGATTTCCCAATCACAATTATGCAAAAATACTCCAAGATTCATTCCCATGGTGTTCTTGAACTTAAAATCAAAATCTTGCTAATCAAATGAAACTAAAGCAAGCCATCACAGTATTCAGAGAAATAAAAGATCACTCAATCATCGTGAATCCCAGAAAGGAAAAGATCAGAAACCCATATTCAAAAATATTACAAATCTAAAAGTAAAGAAACATGCATCACAAACATTCATGAAAGAAAACTCAAGGTAAAGTTACAAACCGGTTCTTAAAGAGTCAAAGTTCCTAAACTAGAGCTAGGAAGAAAAATATCAGAAATGTGAAAACAGTAGCTCGTATGCAGATCCGTGGTTCCTTTCCTTGAAGTTGCGTTGTCAATGCTCTTCGAGATCAAGAATTGAAGAACAAGCACCAGCTTTCAAGACAATTTCTCAACACTCAGATTCGAAGAGAGAAAATACAAAGATTTTAAACGTAAAACTGAAACTAACAAGTACGGTATCTGACCCTAATGACTCAGACTCCTATTTAACTAAAAACTAAAAAGCTGCCTCAAAATGCTTTGCTGTCCATCCATCTCTTTGTCCATCCAATGGTTCAGATTTGATCTTGCTTTCAAAGAGTTGATCTTGCTTTCAAACTGCAGTAAAAATAATAAAAGAGAGTAGTAAATCATTAGTTTATCTCTTTATCTCTTTTTTTACCTTTGGGCTGATTGGCACTCATTTGGCCCATTACCATGCACTAATATCCAGCCTTCACCTCAAATATTATAAAAGCTAAGCCATTAAAAATAGTCATAATTTATAGTAACAATATATAAGTCACTCTTTTATGTTCTGCCTCCATATACATGTCACTGCTTGATCGGCACATTCACTTCACCACATTCTCTCTTTTCATTCATATTACAATCTCAAGCACAACACTCTCATGCGTGCATTGTTCATACACACGTGGGTACGTATTTGGGCTCATTAAGTTGATTTGTGGTTAAGTAAATTGAAAATGTTTGTAGATTTTGCGTTTGTTTATTGTTAATTTGAGTTGCGGATTATCTAAGACTAAGACATGATTTAATGATTATTAGAGAAAACTTTCATAAATTGGTCTTTAATTTGGTAGTTAAGTGGTCTTGTTCCCTTGGCAATTTTTTATTATCATTTTTTAATTTTTGGCTAGGTTTAAATCATCAAATAATTATTTGGGTTATGAAAAAAGAGTTTGAATCCTTTTCTTGACGAGAATAAAATTTGAACCTATGAACTTTAGACATGCAGTGGTTCGATATAGAGAGAGACAAGAAATTGGGCTGGTTTTGAATGGAGATTTTGTTTTATGTAGTTGTCCCTTTTTATCTTTGATATGCTTCTCCGATAAAAGAAAAAAAGGGAAATGAAGAGAAATAAAAAAAATCATACATTTTGACAAAAGGGAATATTTAAAAGGTTTATCATTTCTCTTTCCATGAGATAAAGTTATTTCCCTAAGCTCACAATTACGTCATTTCGAGGGTTGAGAAAAAGTAATAAAAGATATTTTACTAAAATTTATAAAACAAAGAAATAAATAAAATTCATAAAACATCCTTAATTAATTCCTGCAACCCTCAAAAACGATAATTTTGGGGATCGTAGTAGATAACTTTATCTTCTTCTCCATATTTAAAATTAATTTTTACTTTTCATAATTAAGGAGAGTTATATTTATAAATTTTTTGTTTACAAACTATACTATGTATTTTCAGAAGTACACTAGGTTACAATATATACTTTCGAAAATACATAATATAATTTGTAAAAATTTATAAAAATTTTTGTAAATCGATGCTTTCTCTCATAATTAATATAAAATAATGTTATATGATAGTTGTTTTGTGGTGTTATGAGTTGTAGTATCTATCATTCATTGTGCACAGTAAATACTGTTTTCATATTATTATTTTTTGCTTTTGAGAGAGATTATTACGAGTACAAGTTTCACTTCCTTAAGTAGAACCTTCACAATTTTTTAGTTATTATTAAATTAATACCAAATGAGAATTATTAATTTGATTTTAATCTAATGATAATAAAGTAATTATAAGGGACTATAAAATTAAATTATATATATTATTTTTTAAATAATCAAATGGGGAAAAACACCTTTTTAACATATTTTTTTATTGTTTTTTTTAATAAGTGTAAGGGGCCAAGGAAAAAACAAACTAAAAAAAAGCACACTAAATTACAGAGAGTTATTTTCACGGGATCTAGCTACACCCGTGTTATATCCTCCCTATATTTTTTTTATTGTTTTAAAAAGTAAAAATATGAAAATGATCGAAAGAAAATGACATGCAAATGTATTAATTAGTTGGATATGTATTACGTGAGCCATGACGAAATCATCGATTTTACAGTTCCCATGTATGTTGCTCTCTGCTCTATTTTTTTCTTCTGCCAACTCTTCACTCTCGTTTTCACACCCCACAACGTTGTCTTCCACAAACACCACTTTCTGCGATTAAAATAAAAACAACAACAAGAAGAAAAAAACATAACACTCAACTTTTTGTTTTTTCGAACGTGGAACATGAGAGAACCACACCTTAAGTAACAAGTGAGTCCGCATTCCACTTTTGACCACCCATCATTCATTCATTTCGGGTTTGGAATGAAACTGCTTTTATTTTATTTTATTTTTTAATCATTATTACTTGTTTATTCCATTTTTGTAGTTTTAAGTGCTTCCACCGTTTTATCTTTTTTCTAATGAGTTCAATCCATAACGATTAGTTCTTTTTCTTCCCTCAATCACCCTTTAATTTCAAGTGTCCCAATAGAATTTAACTATATACAAGGGCCTTTTGCTCCCTCTATATAATAATAATTTCAGGTTACAAGAGCTGGTCCTTATTCTGGTATCAAACCTTTTATGTCTAAGAGGTTATAAGTTTGATACTTGTCACTTTCATTCTTTTGAGTTAGAATTTTAATACCAGGTAGCTTGGTCTGACCATTTCTTTTTAAGCTCAAAATGTTCTTAAATGAGGTAAGTGTAACCTTCACCTAACAACTTTTAAGTCTTTGGAAGAGGTGGCCCTTAGTAGCTAGTTATGTTGCTTATTCTATTTATTGCTGACCCTTTATTATATTCAATGTTTTTCACGTTTTAGGACATAAGCTTTCTCAGCAAAGACGAGATTTTGTAGCCCTTTATGTCACAGTTTGTTTGAGCAGCAAAGAGAAGCTACAAAGAAGATGGAGGATTTTTGGAGCATCATTTGTGGGGATTCTGGATGTTCTGTTACTGGAGGAAAGCCTTTCTGTTATGATTTCAAGCTTTTGAAAGATCCTTCCACTTGCATCAACCATTTGTTGATCATTGGCTTTGATGTGTCACTGCTGATCATGCTGTCATTCACTATGATCCAGAAATCTTCTTCGAGACCATTTTGGGATCTAATCAAGTTGGGAAGATATTCAAACTTGCAACTAGTTTCAGCCATAACCAGTGGCTCTCTTGGGTTGCTGCATTTGTGCTTAGGCATTTGGGTTTTAGAGGAGAAGTTAAGGGAAATGCACACTGCCTTTCCTCTTAATTGGTGGTTGCTAGAATTCTTTCAAGGATTCACATGGTTGTTAGTAGGTTTAACTGTAAGCCTTCAGCTGAAACAACTTCCAAGAGCATGGTTGTGGCTGTTTTCTATTCTTATATTCTTTGTTTCTGGTATTCTCTGTGCTTTATCCATGTCTTATGCCATTAGCAGCAGAGAATTGTCCCTCAAGGAAGCTTTAGATGTTCTATCTTTTCCGGGAGCAATTTTACTGCTCTTATGCACACATAAAGTACGTAAGTGTGAAGACAATGATAGAGAAATTGATGAAAGCCTTTATGCTCCTTTGAATGGCCAGTTGAATGAAGTTGATCCTATTAACTATGTAACCCCATTTGCCAAAGCTGGATTCTTCAGTAAGATGTCATTTTGGTGGTTGAATCCATTGATGAAAAGGGGTCAAGAGAAAACACTTGAGGATGAGGATATCCCAAAGTTGCGGGATTCAGATAGAGCAGAAAGTTGCTATTTGATGTTTGTAGAACGATTGAACAGAAAGAAACAGAAAGAACCACCATCACAGTCGTTGGTTTTGTGGACAATAGTTTTGTGCCACTGGAGGGAGATTTTGATATCAGGATTCTTTGCATTGCTCAAAGTAATAACTCAGTCTTCTGGTCCTGTACTTTTGAATTCCTTTATATTGGTTGCTGAGGGTAATGAAAGATTCAAATATGAAGGTTATGTATTGGCTATATCACTTTTCTTTATAAAGATCATAGAATCCTTATCACAAAGGCAGTGGTATTTCCGCACTAGACTTGTTGGGATGAAAGTCAGGTCACAGCTTACAGCCGCCATTTATAAAAAACAATTGAGGTTATCCAATGCTGCTAGATTGACTCACTCTGGTGGTGAGATAATGAATTATGTGACTGTGGATGCTTATAGAATTGGAGAATTTCCATTTTGGTTTCACCAGACATGGACAACAAGCTTTCAACTATGTATTGCATTAGTAATTCTTTTCCGTGCTGTTGGGTTGGCAACAATTGCCTCAATGGTGGTCATAGTTCTCACTGTTCTTTGCAATGCTCCACTAGCAAAGTTACAGCACAAGTTTCAGAGCAAACTTATGGTGGCACAAGATGAGAGATTGAAGGCTAGTTCTGAGGCTTTGGTGAATATGAAAGTGCTGAAGCTATATGCATGGGAAACACATTTTAAAAATGCTACAGAAAGCCTAAGAAATGTAGAACTCAAATTGTTAGCGGCAGTGCAATTAAGAAGGGCATACTTAGTCTTTCTCTTTTGGACCTCCCCTATGTTGGTCTCTGCTGCTACTTTTGTGGCATGTTACTTCCTGGAAGTTCCTTTACATGCAAATAATGTTTTCACTTTTATAGCAACTTTACGCCTTGTGCAAGAACCAATTACTGCCATCCCAGATGTTATTGGGGTGGTAATTCAAGCAAAAGTTGCATTTGCTCGGATTGTTAAATTCCTTGAGGCACCTGAACTGCAGAGTGAAAATTTCAGGAACAAGAGTTCTAATGACAATCTCAGAGGCTCAATTTCAATCAAATCTGCTGACTTTTCATGGGAAGGTAATGTATCAAAGCCAACACTAAGGAACATGAATTTGGAAGTTAGATATGGGCAAAAGGTGGCTATTTGTGGAGAAGTTGGGTCAGGAAAATCAACCCTCTTAGCAACAATTCTTGGAGAAGTTCCTAATACAAAGGGAACTGTAAGCTTTTCTTTCTTTTATGCCTCATAGATTGCACTCTTAAATCTTTTGATACTCTAGTTGGTTATAACTTGGATTACATTCCTACTTTTCTGTCAGCAATTATATTAGCACATAAACTCAACTGAGGTGAATTTTCACATCCTCCTTCATTTTAACTGTAATATTAATAGGTGTTTGATTCTCTTTTCTAAATAACAGATTGAAGTTTATGGAAAGTTTGCATATGTTTCTCAAACTGCATGGATACAGACGGGTACAATAAGGGAAAATATTTTGTTTGGATCTGATTTGGATGCTCAAAGATATCAAGAAACACTTCATAGATCTTCACTACTGAAGGACCTTGAGTTGTTTCCCCATGGGGACCTCACTGAAATAGGTGAGAGAGGAGTTAACCTGAGTGGAGGACAGAAGCAGCGAGTTCAACTTGCCCGTGCTCTTTATCAGAATGCTGATGTATATCTCTTGGATGATCCATTCAGTGCAGTTGATGCACATACTGCTACAAATTTGTTTAATGTAATGGAATTTTTCTTTCTTCACATACTGCATTTATATCTTCAGTGTCATTGTTTACTGAAAGATGGCAACAAAACTTGGCAGGAATACATCATGGATGGGCTTAAAGGAAAGACTGTCTTGCTCGTGACTCATCAAGTTGACTTCCTCCCAGCGTTTGATTCTGTTTTGGTAAATTTCATTCATCTTTAAGCATTGGTTATATCTATTGGGAAAAACAGTACAAATTTCCCCTTTGATTAAACCTGTTAGAAATTGATTGAATCTAAGAAGTATCAACTAGGATCAATTTATATCAGTTTAAAAATAATGTCCGAGACCGAACCTTAACTGTTGAATTATATGCATTTGACAATAATAATTTATTGAAAATTAATAATTAATATATAATTGTAAGTGAAGGCGAGTCTTGGAGTAATAGTAAGGTTGCTTCTTGTGACCCGAAAATCACAGGTTCGAGTCTAGAAAATAGCCTTATTGCAAATATACAAGGGTAAAACTATGTACAATTGACCCTCACACGTACCCTTGCAAGTTGAGGAGCCTTGTGCACTGAGATTTGCCCTTTTAATTTATAATTATAACTCAATAAATTACAACCATTAAATACATGTATCAACTGTTAAGATTTGATGAAAACTTATTATTTTCACATCCGTATAAGTTGATCCTATCCCATATCAATATTCCAAAAACAAATATTGAAGAATTACACATCAGGAACACAAAGCAATTTTAAAGCATAAAAGTTAAAAACCATACAACCAGTTTCGGAGTCCACCCAAAACTATTTCTCACTCAATCGTGAGTAATAATTCAGTTGCATTTTCATATTCCACAACATTACATATGTGCTTGGAAATTTTAGCTTTGCAGCAAATATAAGGAAGATTCCTTCTTACCTCTAGCCTTAACCAATGAGCCTCTGGTGAGTTTCCAATCTCCATCATCAAAAGTGCTACAAAACCCTTCATCATCTAATCTTAATAAAAATACAAACAGATATCTGGTACATTTCTAACATCTGAAAGAACAAGCTTAGATCCATTACTAGCTTCCAAGTGTACATCCGCAATGCCTAAAACCTCTAACAAGCCATCATTGCCCATCTTTCAAGGTGATGTGAAAAGATGCTCCACTATAAATAACCCAGCTAATCTCAGTGCTTGCAAAATTTAAATTATGATCATCACACAAAATGTCCTCGATCATACCCTTTTCTGTCATTACTGTTGTCATCATTTTTCTTCTCCCTTTTCAACTGAAAACAGTTCTTCTTGATATGACCTTTTTTGTCACAATAATAACATTCAACATTCTTGTACCCTGTTGATCTTGACTTGCTCCAACTTTGGTTTCTAGCTTGTGAACCTCTATCTCTAATCCTCCCTCTACTTTCAGTGACTAAATCACCAGAATGTGATGAAGAATATGAAGCTTGACTTTTCCTTCTCTTCTTCTCATTTAAAACAGCACCCTTAACAAAATCAAGTCTCATTTTACCCTCAAGAGCCAAATTACTCATTGACATACAAAATCTCTCCCGTGAATCTGGTAAGGTAGCAAGTAGCAAAAGTCCCAACACCTCATCATCAAAAGTAATTTTTTGTGACCGCAAGTTGATCTAACACTCCTTGAAACTCATTCAAGTGATCAGAAATTGATTTGCCATCCCTATATTGCAAACGCATGAGTTGATTTATCAGAAACATCTTGTTGTTGCTTTTATTTCGAGCATACAATAACTCGAGTTTAGACCATAAAGTTCGGGCATTTGATTCTTCACTAATGTGATTGAGCACAGTATCATCTACAAATTGTCGGATGAATCCACATGTAACTTTGTGATTTAGAGTCCACTTTTCATCACTAGTTGCAATTGGTTTCTCTTTAACAAACACTGGCTCATGCCAACCCTTTACATAAAGAAGATCTTCCATTTTGCCTATCCATAAATGATAGTTTCGTTCATTCAAACTAATCATTCTGTTCATATTCGATTCCATAGCTCAAATAAATCAACAATCTCTCTCTCTCTCTCTCTCTCTCTCTCTCTCAGCGCTTTTTGGGAAAAAATTTCACAAACCTTAGGAACCCTTCACAAGTTTGCTACTTCCTAAATCTTCTCTTACTGTAGCTGCCTCTGTTGTTGCCGCATCTTTTTTTCGTCTTTAAATTTTCTGATGCCACTCCTCACATAAGTAAACCCTAATTCTTTATTGAGCTGGACAAGGTTTCAAAGTTGGTTTGGATGGAATTTTTTTTTTCTTCCAAAAGTTATTTTTTTTAAGAAAAAAAAAAAAAAAACACTTCTCGTCTCCTTTGTTCGGATATTTGTTTTAAAAAACAGAAATTATAAAAAAAAAGTTAAAAAGATATTTTTTTTTTTTTTTTTTTTTTATAAGTTAAAATTTTTAACTTCTAAAAAAAACAGAAATCAAAAGTCAAATATTTATTTTCAAAATTAAATATTTTTAAAAAATATAAATAATTTTAACTTTTATAAAAAATACTTTTAAAATAAAAAAGAGATAAAAACTATTTTTTTTTTCTAAAAGCACAAACAAAACTGCTTGGAAGAAGCCCAACAATGTCATTATTCGTCTTTCTTTTCATTATGGTTAGTGTTCAAAAAAGCTATTGGAAGATGAAAGGAACCTCCCGGAGAGGAAATATTAATTTTTCCACTTTTAGGGTGTGCATGACAATCATTCTCTTTTTCATGCACTGCTTTTGAAAAGAAACAATTTTTTTCTATTTTTGTTCCTTGTAACAGTTTTTGACAAAAAAAAATGTGTTTGATAACATGTTTTATTTTTATTCTGAGAATGAGAATTGTGTTTGATAACACAACAAATAATAGAATAAAAAATCATTTCTATTAAGCATAAAAAAATTTCGGGTCATCACTTTCCTTTTCATATGGTGTGGTGGTAGCGGCGGTGGTGGTAATGATGGTGGTTGTAGTAATGGCGTCGTGGTGATAATGGTGGTGGTTGTAGTAATGGCGTCGGTGGTTGTAGTAATGGCGTCGTGGTGATAATGGTGGTGGTTGTAGTAATGGCGTCGTGGTGATAATGGTGGTGGTTATAGTAGTGGCATCGTGGTGGAGGTGATGGTATGGTGGTGGCAGCGATGACAGTAGTGGTGGCAATGGTAGCGGCGGTGGTGGTAGTGATGGTGGTGGTGGTGACGGTAGTGGCTACGGCGATGGTGCTAGTGATGATGACGGTGGTGTAGAGGTGGCGGTTGTGATAGCAATAATGATGGTGGTGATAATGGTGGCGAGGGTGGTGGTGGTGATAACATGGTGGTGGCGATGGTGTAGTGGTGGTAACAGTGGCATAGTGGCGATGGCGACGTCGATAGTGGTGGTGGTGGTGGAGACGATAGTGGCGGCCACAATGGTGATGATGACGACATGGTGCGGTGGCGGTCATAATGGAGGTGGTGGCGGCGGCGATGGTAGTGATGGTGGTGACAACAGTAGCTACAACGATGGTGATGACATGGTGGCGGCGGAGGCGATGGTGGTAATAGTAGTGGCAATGGTGATGGCATGGAAGCGGTGGCGGTGGCGGTGGTAGTGGTGACAACGGTGGTGGTGGTGATGGTAGTGGCTACGGCGATGGTGGTGGTGATGGTAGTGACAGTGATGGTAGTGGTGGTGGTGGTTATGATGGTGGCGGTGACGTATAGGTGGCAGTGGTAATAGCAATGGCCGCAACAATGGTGTTGATAATGGTGGCGAGGGTGGTGGTGGTGATGGTGATGACATAGCGGTGGCGGTGGCTATGGTGTAATGGTGGTAACGGTGGCATAGTGGCGGCAGCGACGGCGATAGTGGTGGTGACGACAGTGACTGCCACAATGGTGATGATGATGACATGGTGACAGTGGTGGTAATGGTGATGGCGGCGATGGTAGTGGTGGTGGTGATAGTAGTGGCTGCGACGTTGATGATGGTGATGACATGGTGGTGGTGGTGGCGGCGGTGGCGGCGATAGTAGTGATGATGTCGTGGTGGTGGTGGCAGTGGCTACAATGATGGTGATGGTGGTTGGTGATGGTGGTAGTGATAATAGTGGTATCGGTGATGGTAGGGATGGTGGTGGTGGTGACGTGGAGGTGGTGGTGGTGATACGACGATAGTGGCAGTGGTCGTATCGTGTTGGTGGTGGCGGTGATGATGATGGTAATGGTAGAGAGTAATTAAGAGATATAAGCGTTTCTCATTTTGTGCACGGGAACAAAAAAACAAAAAAAAATTATTCTTTTTTATGTTCCCCAGCACAAAAATCAAACCGGTTCATCCCGGGAACAAAAATATAAACTGATTTTACCAAACGAGTTTTCTACCCATTTTTGTTCCCTGGAGCATTGTCATGCGTACCCTTATAATTACAAAGGTTCTCAAATTCATAAATGAAGGATTTGTTTTTGAAGGAATAATTGGATCCATGGAAGTCTTGCAGGACGAATGTGATTTGAGATGCTAACGAGTTATAGTTCATTAATACTAAGGGTATACTTTTTTTTTAGTACATTAATTAATACTAAGGGTATGCTTTTGATGAGATGTATAAAGTTTGATAGTATAATAAGTTTATACTATATGTTATGATATTTTTAATTGTTTGGTGTCACAATCATATAGTATAAGCTTATACAATAGAGTCCCTTAATACATCAAAATGATGTATAACTTAATCAAGCCTAATGAGGTGTGATTAGGTCTGATAAGGGATTAATATATTAACATCGCTAACTAATACAATTCTCAAGAATTAATATATTAAAATAAAAATTAATTTTTGAACATATTAATTTTTAAAATATCAGATAATCTTATTTTTATAAAAACTAATATATTTTTTAGACACGCTGATCAATAGTTTTTTACAAAAATTAATATCATATACATATTTGGAAGCATTATATGAATTATTTATCAAATGATATTTTTATCAAAGGATACTTTTATAAAAAATATTTATTATCCTATCTAATATTAAACAGTGTATTACCAAACACTAGATGATATTATTTTATACAATATCATGTCAAACGCTAGATATTATTAAAATTTAATCAGGTCTTATACTAATAGACTTTATACTATCAGGCCTTATCTTATATACTGCAACAAACATGCCTTAGGGCTATATTACTATCATGTTACTTGAAGAAACAGTCTGCTGATACAATGAAGAAGTGTGGTTCACAAGTTTTTTTTTCTATTTTCTCATCTGACTTTCTCTCTCCTCTTCATTATACTTTTATGGCATAAACCGTGGCGGAGCCACGTTATTCCGACCTAGGGCCAAGGCCCTAGCTAATTTTTAAAAGTTAGCACGTTTTAGATATGGGTAACTACCCGTGGCAAAGTTGAAGGGATAAAATATAATGATTGGCACTAGCTAAAATTTCTTGGCCCAAGCTCATTATTTTATTTTTGCTGGCTCCGCCATTTGGGCATAAACATGCGAAATATCATTTCCTGGCATTGAATTTTCTTGCTTTCAACAACTATGGATGAATCTTATGGAGTGTGTACTATCTTTTACATTAGAAAGTATGACTAAAGTGAGTATATATAAATATCAAACATCACCAAACACGTCGATTAATCGGTAAGAGGTTGTTCAAATTTAATCAGTTAGTTTTGAATTCGAGTCCTTGGAAACGCGGTTGTGTTAAAATTTGATATAGAGAACTTTTCCTTTGCCACCATGTTGTTTTACCCGATGTTGTATTGACATCGACATGGGACACGAAACACGACATGACCCTCTGACACATTAATTTTAAAAATTAGATTTCGACACGTTAGGATACGTTTTGATATTAAATAATACTTTTAATTTATGTAGTGTATATTATATTTAATATTCAATAATCTACCAAAAAATAAAGCTAAACATATAATACCTATAATTTTTGCAAAGAAATATAAGAAATCCCAAATATTTATATTAATTTCAATAAAATGGTAATCGTAATTCAATAAATTTAATAGGTGGAACTAAAAATGTAATGTAACACAACATTTGAATCGTTTTTTGAGTCTCTGCAACGCGTGTTAGAGTGTTGGGGAGTATCAAAGTGTCAAGGAGTGTCGGGAAGTGTCGGATACATCACGTCAAGGCTTTTGAAGCGTCGGTGCTTCGTAGGTTTTACCCGACTCAAATTGGATTAATCGAATATTCAATAAACCTATAGATAATATCTAAAAAAAGAAAAAAAAGATCAAACATAACCTAGTTCTCTTTGGCCTCTTTTCATGCACTAAAGCAAAAGGCTTTTGAGTAACAGAGTATATCCCAACAGTTTTGACCATAAAAGTTGATATTTGACCTCTTGATTCTGTTTTATTCATTTGTGTTGTGCAGCATTTATGTTAATGTGGTTGAGTGAGCACTAAACTATTGTTGTTCAATTATTATTTGCGTCATTAATTCCTATTTGGACTTCCTAATTCAATTTCTTTTTTTCAGTTGATGTCAGATGGGGAAATCCTACAAGCTGCTCCATATCACCATCTGTTGAACTCAAGCAAAGAATTCCAGGACCTTGTCAATGCTCACAAGGAAACTGGTGGTTCTGACCAGCTTGTGAATGTTACTTCTGCACAGAGACAGACAAATTCTGTTAAAGAGATTACACAAACTTTCTTGGAGAAAAATTTTAAAGCAGCAGATGGAAATAAATTAATTAAGCAAGAAGAGAGAGAGATAGGAGACAAAGGGTTGAAGCCTTACTTACAGTATCTGAATCAGATGAAAGGCTATATATACTTCATTGTGGCTTCCCTTTGTCACCTTTCTTTTGTCATTTGCCAGATATTGCAAAACTCATGGATGGCTGCTAATGTTGACAATCCCCATGTCAGCACTTTGAGATTGATTCTAGTTTACTTCATGATTGGAGCTATTTCAACAGTTTTCTTGTTGATCAGAGGTCTACTTGTGGTTGCTTTAGGTCTTCAATCATCAAAAAATTTATTTTTGAAGTTAATGAACTCCCTTTTTCGTGCACCCATGTCTTTTTATGACTCTACACCTTTGGGAAGGATACTTAGTAGGGTAAGCATGTTAAACAATTTTATGTTTATTTTTTTTCCTTGCAATGAAAATGTAATGGAAGTAATAGTGTTCTGATTCTCATTTTCCCTTGTTTAGGTCTCATCAGATCTGAGCATTGTGGATCTTGATGTCCCATTTACCCTCACTTTTACTGTGGCAGGTACTATAAATTGTTATTCCAATCTTACAGTTTTAGCAGTTGTCACTTGGCAAGTGTTGGTTGTCTCTATACCAATGATTTACATTGCAATTCGCTTGCAGGTAATGAACAAATTCTTCTTTGAGTTATATTGCAATAGTAAAATGTTGTCTTCTTTTTTAATTAACATTGAGAAAACCATCAAATTTAACTACATAATGCTCATTCTTCTTTGAAAGGGTGCTTCAGCTTTTATCTTTTTGTAACTTATTAATAATTTATTTATGGAATATAAAATGTTCTTGCTTGGAAAGTAAACATGGTATTTTTATTTTTTTTTTAAATAGAGATACTACTTTGCCTCTGCAAAAGAAGTGATGCGGATGAATGGCACAACAAAATCCTTTTTGGCTAATCATTTAGCTGAAACTGTTGCTGGGGCTGTGACAATAAGGGCTTTTGAGGAGGAAGATCGTTTTTTTAAGAAGAATCTTGATCTAATTGATACCAATGCTAATCCTTTCTTCCATAGTTTTGCCTCAAATGAGTGGTTGATCCAAAGGTTAGAAACAGTTTGTGCATTTGTTCTTGCCTCCGCGGCTCTTTGCATGGTTATGCTTCCTCCTGGGACTTTAGCCTCTGGTGAGACTTCAATTATTGTCATCATATATATGTCATTGTTAGAGTCTTCTAATAATCTTGCCAATCATATGCTTTTATCCTCAAACGATAGCATTATTTCTCAGATGCAAGTTTCTTATTTTCAATATCCATTATTCCAGGATTTATTGGCATGGCCCTTTCTTATGGCCTTTCACTAAACGCTTCCTTGGTATTTTCCATTCAATTTCAATGCACTCTAGCAAATTATATAATATCTGTGGAGAGGCTAAATCAGTATATGCATATACCAAGTGAGGCCCCAGAAATGATAGAAGGAAATCGTCCTCCTAAGAATTGGCCACTTGCAGGAAAAATAGAAATAAATGACTTGCAGGTAATTGGTACTTAAAAAGCATAATGTTCATAAAAATCTTTTCTTACTTTTTATTTGGGTTTATTTACTGCAGATCTCAAACTAGACCCCAACTAGTTTGGGATAAAGGTGATGTTGATATTAATTTTGTTAATGAAGTGAGCTGCATAATTTGCTTGATCATACCAAAACAGATACGATACAGGCCTAATGGACCACTTGTACTCCATGGAATCACATGCACATTTAAAGCAGGACACAAGATTGGTATTGTTGGTAGGACAGGTAGTGGGAAGTCCACTCTTATAGGAGCTTTATTTCGTCTTGTGGAGCCAGCAGGAGGAAAAATTGTAGTTGATGGCATAGATATCTCATCTATTGGCCTTCATGATTTGAGGTCACGTTTTGGTGTTATACCTCAGGATCCTACCCTTTTTAATGGGACAGTTAGATATAATTTGGACCCTTTATCTCAACATTCTGATCTAGAGATATGGGAGGTAAAACATGCTACATTCTGTTTATCTTTGCTTTGCATAGAAAATGTGGACTAACTCTTGCTTGATATGAAGGTTCTTGGTAAGTGTCAGTTGCGAGAAGCTGTCCAAGAGAAAGAAGAGGGCTTAAACTCCTCAGGTACACATCAGAGTTTCATTTTTGTAACTATGTAGTAAGCATTTTGTTAAAGAAATATAAAAATCATGAGTCATCACTTATCATGGTATTAGAGCAAAGATGATTACGAGGTCACGAGTTTGATCTTCACCGCCTTACTTTCTAGTGAAAATAAGTAAGCACAAAATAGAATAAAAAAATTGAACTAGTATAATATCCACACTTTAAGCCTAAAGGACTATTGTGTGAGGGGGTGTATTAAAGAAATATAATATAAAAATCATTGAAACTCCATCACTTACGAGCTTAAACTTTTGGGATGAGATGGTTCTTTACATATCTCTTTCATAGTTAGTAGTAATTACTAGTAACAAATTTTTACACAGTTGTTGAAGATGGATTAAACTGGAGCATGGGACAAAGGCAGTTATTCTGTTTGGGGCGTGCTCTTTTGAGGAGAAGTAGGATATTGGTGCTGGATGAAGCAACTGCATCAATTGATAATGCAACCGATTTGATTCTGCAGAAAACTATTAGGACTGAGTTTGCAGATTGTACAGTGATCACAGTGGCACACAGGATTCCAACCGTTATGGATTGCACTATGGTTCTTTCAATAAGTGATGGTATGTTTAATATTGACTGTCTCTTTTATCTCAATTAACAAATACTTTTTCAGACTAGTCAGTCTATAACTCCATTGGCATTTTCTTGTGTTGAGATTAAACAATCCTTTGCTAATATGTGGACTAGGTAATGCACATAATGTAGTTTATCTGTTCGTCACTAAAAATTTAACTATACCACTTGATTTGGCACACACCAAACATAGGTTTGTTGTTGAGGGTAATTAACAATGAGGTAGTTGATCTAACATTTGGACTTCTATGGCGCATTGATCCAAGGTAAAATATGGGGTACTTGATTTTCACACTTGAACTTTTATTAGAAGAAAGAAAAGTAAATAAAATGTTTGATCATTTACTTGTTTACTTCAAAGAAAAGGAAATTTATGACGATTGTGTGTACAGGAAAATTGGCTGAGTATGATGAACCAATGAACTTGATGAAGAGAGAAGGATCACTGTTCAGGCAGCTTGTCAAGGAATACTGGTCTCATTTTCAGTCTGCAGAATCACATTGATGCTGACAATTAATTATCTTTTTTTATGCAGCACTGTTCAAGAAAATTTGATCAGATATATGATGTAAAATGTGTTTTGTTAGGATAAGTATGAGGCCTGAGAGGTAGGAAAGGAATGTGGGGAATGAAAAGAAAGGTGCAAGAGGATTCAAATGCACTACTTCGAGGATGGTGTATGAGCCTTATTGAAAGATTTTGTTTTTGAAGGCGAAGTCCTTGCTAACGAAGTTAGTCTATAATCGAAAGACTAGTTTCATATTATAATATTCTATATTGTGCATGCGTGATTAATGTAACTATGAACTATATAATTAGAGAAATTATTTTCTCATATAGTAAGAAAGAATTATCTTATGCTATAAATACATCAATAAATGTGTCTTGTTATTTATTTATTTTATTTTTTTAACATATGATGGAACTCACCATATATTGTGTCTATCAAATAACAGCAGCATCTCATACAATATGAGATTAAATGTTGCAAATAATTATTATTGCTCAGCTTTAAAATGTACTAGTTCAGGAAAGATAACCACAATATACTTGCTCGACTTTTTTTTATTACTTGTTACGACTCAATGTACTTGCAAAAATAATATAAGTACAGAAGTATATTTTAACCTCATAAAAAGCATGGAGCTACATTGTTAACTTGGAGTGGGTGAGTGTTATTGACCCTTAATATTTTTAAATAAATTTAAAATGGCAAATTGATTGAAACAAATCAATTTTTTATTTTTCATTTTGGTAAGAACAAAACAATTTTTTTTTTTTGATTACAGAACAAAACAATTTTTAAAGACAACCAAAATTGATTCATTTGATTAACTTTTCGCTCATGACAACTGTATAACTTGAATTTAAAATCCAAACATTTTCTTAATGGTGATTCACATTGAAATTGATAATTTGCAACTTTATCTAAGAAATATAAATAGCTTTCCCGATTTTTCAAATTAAAAATCTATAGTATTACTCGATACAACATTTTTGTTTTGCTGTGACCTTATACAGTTAAGTACATGAGGGGAAAAAACAAAGAAAAGTACTAATTTTACGGGGATAAGTTATCTTACCTACTATTTTTTTTGTCTACCAGCCTCCAACACCATTAGATCAAAATCTTAACTAACATTTATCTTTCTTTCTCTTCTTGAGATTCTAATCTAATGGTGTTGGAGGATGGTAGGCAAAGATAAGCAAAAAAAGTGATAGGTAGAATAACATATCCCATTTTACGGTGGTAATGTCTTTCCATCGAAAATGGACGGTGCCTCGTGCCCTGCACGTGGAGATGACAATCAAATCAAAACCACCTGCAAAATTACCTGAAACACTTATGCAGGATAACGATCTACTAATCTTACTCTTAACTCTTTATTTTGTTATATTATTATTATAGATAGGATATTGTAACAATTGATTAATGTTATTATCAATTAATTTTATTATTAGATCGATTATATTGATCCAATAAATAATTATATTTATTTTTATCTTTGTATGGTTATGATTCCCTATATTTAATGCGAAAGAATTAATAATGAAAAATCATAACTATACAAAAATGAAAATAAATATAAAGTATTAAACATGAAGAACCATAATCATACAAAGATAGAAATAAATATAGTCGTTAGATCAACATAATCAATCTAACAATAAATGATTGTTGTAATATTATTATTATTATTATTATTGTTATTGTTTCATTTATCTTCCAAATTCATCACTCAAATAACCAAACTAGCACAAAATAGAGTCAGCAACAAAACATGTCCACCATGTCATCCTCAACATTCACAAACTCCAATGCCTCACTCCCACCTTCTCCAATCTCTGCATTCCTTTCAGGCTCTTCCCAAGTTCCAATCTTTCACCCTACCCTTTTCCCCAAACCCCTCCACTGTCCCTACCCACTTTCCATTTCATCCAGAAAACCCATGACCACCCCAGTTTTCTGCAAGTCCCCTGAAGCAGAAGAAGAGCTCTCACTCCCACCAGAAGATGAGTGGCTTCAGAAGCTTCCAGAAAAGAACAAACCCCTCTATTCACACAGCTTGCCTTGCATTGAGGCATGGCTGAAGAGCCTTGGGTTTTACCAGAGCAAGGATGACAGGGCTGTGTGGCTTGTACACAAGCCTGATTGGCATGCTCAGCTATCTTTGGATGTCACTGATCTCTACATAAGGTGGGTTTTCTTTTCTTATTCTTAAGGTTATTTTTGTGTTTTTCTGTTGTGGGTTCTTGTGCTTATGCTGTTTGAGTTTATGGGTGTGTGTGTGTGTGTTTCATTTAAGTGTATGAATGTGTACACAAGGTGCTATCCACATTTGTGTGGTTTACAATTGCTAATTGGATTTTTTTTGAATGGCTTGACTTCCATTGAATTTTCTAAGCAACATTTGCTTTGTCTATTGAATAATTGACCGAATTGCTAGAAGATAAGTGTGCTATTGCATGCTCACAATTCATTTTCTCATATTTGTTGTTGTTATTGTTGTTGTTTCTCCCCCTGCATAGACGTGTCCTCGGTCAAATATAATATCACAGCTGTAAACTTGCCTAAGATATTGCTTTATATATGTGTTCTTGATTGAATATAGAATGAAGAACAGTGAACACTCTTACTGTCCTAATTAAGAACTAGGGTATTGGAACTTGAAAGTAAACTCATTTATTTGGTTCCTGATATTTTCTACTATCATTGATAATTGTCCATTGTTTTTTCTACTGCTCTATTGATCAACCCAAAAACACACAAACTTAGATATTTTTCATCTCATCATGCCTTGTTATTTTGACCGAATAAAAAAGCAAAGGGAAATTCCTGCACAAGGCTCCCCAGCTTTGCAAGGGAGTGGGTGATGGTCAACTATACACCATCTTATACTTGCATTTTTGCAAAGAGTTTGTTTCTAAAACTCAAACCTGTGACCAGACCATACAACTGCTCCAAGGCTCACCCTTGTTATTTTGAATAAATATTCATTTTTTTGGGGGTAACGACATTAACTATCTTTTACAATATTCAATGTTAAATTCAAATGTGCATGGAACAAAATCTTAAAATATGAACTTTACAATCAAGAATTTGGATGAAACTCCAATGCTGCTAATCATAGTTATGGTTACAGTCCACAGAATATTGAATGTACAGTAGAATGGTTAAAATTTGACCATTAGCTTTTTTTTGGTGGTTGCTAGTTCATTGTTTTGTTAATTGTAGCATTTTAGCTTTTTGATATTCACTGGTAGGTTGAATCAAACATGATACAACTGAACTTAATAGATTTGTTTTATTTTGTAATAAGAACCTTAGGATGCACCATCCCAAAAGCTATCTTTTACAATATTTAATGTTAAATTCAAATGTGCATGGAACAAAATCTTAAAATATGAACTTTACAATCAAGAATTTAGATGAAACTCCAATGCTGCTAATCATAGTTATGGTTACAGTCCACAGAATATTGAAAGTACAGTAGAATGGTTAAAATTTGACCATTAGCTTTTTTTTGGTGGTTGCTAGTTCATTGTTTTGTTAATTGTAGCATTTTAGCTTTTTGATATTCACTGGTAGGTTGAATCAAACATGATGCAACTGAACTTAATCGATTTGTTTTATTTTCTAATAAGAACCTTGGGATGCACCATCTCAAAAGCTAGCTCAAAGAGTGAGAGTGCCCAAGGCCTTATAAACCCCACATTAGTTGCTCATACAACCAATGTGGGACTTCAAGTCCCATACCTTGAAAATGGGTCCGAACATTTTCCCTTCCTTTTGTTAAACAAGAGAGATCTAGGAACAATGTGTATATTAGTAACTGTGGTGCATAAAAGTAAACTGTAACAAACCCTTTTTCTTTTATGTTTTTAATATAAAAATATATCAAGTAGTTGTCAATTACATATATCTGCAAAAGGACTAAAAACAATCGGCAAGCTAAATGGTGTACTTGAAAGAAAAGGGTATTTGAAATATTATTGAATTGTGTAAATAATCTGTACAAAGAGGTCTCTATTTATAGAGAATGAAAACCCTAATACTTGACCTAATGGGCTTGGCCCAATACAACAAATACTAATAATAATAAAATAACAAATATTTACAACACTCCCCCTCAAGCTGAGGAATAGATATTTATCATTCCCAGCTTGCTAATAAGTTCTTGAAATCTGTCTGAAGGAAGTCCCTTTGTCAATAGATCAGCTAATTGACGCCCAGTGGGAATGTATGAAGTGGTAATCAACCCGCTATCAAGTTTCTCTTTGATGAAATGGCGGTCGACCTCAATATGTTTAGTCCGATCATGTTGAACCGGATTATGAGCTATACAAATAGCGGACTTATTGTCACATAGCAGCTTCATAGGTCCCTCACATTTTATTTTGAGATCATCAAGTATATTTTTCAGCCATTGTAACTCACAAATGCCTTGAGCCATAGCTCGAAATTCAGCTTCTGCACTTGATCTGGCGACCACATTTTGTTTCTTATTTCTCCATGTCACCAAGTTACCGCAAAGAAACATGCAGTAACCAGTGGTAGAAAGGATAGCCCAATAAATAGAGATAAATGAAGACTAAATTTTTTAAGTGAAATCATTAAAAAATAGATTTAAAATTGAATGGTCTTTGTAAAGACATAATATATATTACATAGAACACAATGGCATTGTTTTATTTATATATATGGCTGACCCATGTAGGAAAATGCATTTGTTCTTGTTGGTTTCAGTCTAAGTATGAGTCCACATATAATATCAACCATTTCAAAATAGGTTTAATACTTTGGCTGGCATTTATGTTAAGTTTTCCTGTATAGAAACGAGCTGCCATCTAAGGTTTTGTTTCTAAGAACTCGTGAATTTGAGTAGATAGTAATGCTTGAGTTTGATGAGAAAAAAAGTACCAGATAATGAATGTGATTCGAATCTTGAAATATTCCTCTTTGAATGTCTTATGCTTTGTCTGCCTGTTATTCTTCTTTTCAAACTGTGCTTTCTAAAAGATAAAGAAAGCAGCTAGATAAATAGCATGGAAAACATTATACATGGAACCAAGACAAAACTTTTACCAGGAAAGTTAAAATTTAATTCCAAATATATAAGATGGCTGATGCATGAAATTTGCACTTATTGACTTGAAGTCACAAAAATAAAAGGCAAAAAAGAAAGTGCACTCTCTCAAAAGAAAAGTATATGCTCGTGTTTCGAGCTAAGTTTTAATACCATTTATCTCTTGAGGGCCACGTCTCATAATATTGGGCCTCATTGTTAGTGATTCTTTTGTATGGACCATATGGTAGACTCGACCTCATGAATTTATCATCACTTCACCGTGATTTTTGAATGGACAACATATTAGTTTCTTCTGCACAAATTTCTTACAGTTTCTCTGTAGCATTGATGGTTGTATACAATTGTGGCAGTGAATAGATGTTGCAAATCAGGCCCTTTTGACTCATTTAATTTAAAAAGGAAATATTTTATTTCTGGATTAGATTGAAAATTCAAATATTTTATCAAAATAATATTGTGAGATGTCCACGGATAAATGCACACTACAAGTCACACACTATTTTTGTGCAAGACTTCAATGCGCACTGCACTGAAGTGGCGCATAGGAATTGTGTACAACTTGCAGTGTCGGCCACATGACTGATGCACCTTTGCCAATGCACAAGTCTTTCATCACTTCATACAAGACTTGAACACGTAAATATCATGTGAATCTCGCGACATTATTTTGGTAAAATGTTTGGATTTTGAATGAATCCGGTAAAATATTTTCCCTTAATTATGGTCAAAACACATGCAAATCAGTTAGTAAAATACTTTTTTGCGTCCTCAAAGAGTTGGTAGCATGCTGCCATATAGATCCAGTCCAAGCCATATTGGAGCATTGGAAGTACCATACAAGTATTAGTTACCACCTAATGCTAAGATGTAACTAGCAATTATGATGCTAACAATGAGAATTATTATAGATGACAATCATAATGGAGAATGCTAGGTCACCCCAAAAGACAGACAACTTCTAGAGATACCAACATGTCAGTGTCTAACTTGTCCGGAGGTAGATGCTGCTTCTTTGAAATACATATAGAGAAACTGTTAAAAAAAAATCATTGTTCCTGATATAGTAGTAGCTCCTTAGTCAAAAAGGTTATATAGTTTATGTGAATGCTTTTGGATGGCTGCAAGTAGAACTTTAGTGTTCTACAAGCTGATGACATTGGAAAGGTCTAAGTTGTAGGTGGATCTTTTTGTTTAACTTCACATTAAAGGTTCATTCTTATGCCTGTAAAAAGACATGATTAAAACATAAAAATGGTCCCAAAAGCTAATGGGTCCTACTTGTGATGGGTCTTGAAGCTCAAGTGCAAGTCATTCCCATATGGAATCTAACCCAAAGTTTAGCTGGCCCAATGTTAGCCAGCTAAAAGAGTGGACATCACACACTTGAGAAGAAAGCATTTAAAAAGGTTTTGATACTATGTAAAGAACTTTGAGGTCACCACCCCAAAAGCTAGCTCAAAGGGTGGGAGTGCCCAAGGCCTTATAAAGGCCACATTAGTTGCTCATACAACCAATGTGAGACTATATATCTCAACACGCCCCCTCACACGAGAGCCCACTGGGCTTGAAGAGTGGAATGCAACAGGCCCAACCTACCCGTGCTAAGAAATTCCACAAGAGAAAGTGGGGGACGGCGAGGCTCTGATACCAACTTGAAAGAAAAGGGTATTTGAAATATTATTGAATTGTGTAAATAATCTGTACAAAGAGGTCTCTTTTATAGAGAATGAAAACCCTAATACTTGACCTAATGGGCTTGGCCCAATACAACAAATACTAATAATAATAAAATAACAAATATTTACAACAGATGTTTACCGGGAACTAAGATAACCATTGTTAAAATTTCAAGTGCTATTGGTGGTCACGTTCTATTCTAGAATGGACATATCAATACATTCATGTATTGCTTCCAAAATTTCAAAACGTTTACTATAGATTTTAAAATATGTGTTTTACGGTTAAAGACAGGTTTCTCTTTGATTAAAAGGGAGGAGAAGAGTAATGTGCATTTTGAAGAAGAAAGAGGAGTAACTATAGTGATGAAATTAGAAAGATGTGGAGGTTGCTCCTTTCCAATTTTATGTTTCTCATATCACCTATCAGATGTAGTTGCTTTCTTCTAAAAGAGTGAGGAGGATGTGTCAGTCAGAAAGTTTGCAAACCCAAAATATGAATGCTTTCTGTTTCAATTGAGAAAAGTTGAATTAGTAGATAATTGGATCTTAAAAAATAATTTGGTGTCACTATTTGAATATGAATAAGAAGAAGACGGAAATTACTTTGTTGTCTATTCATTTTTGAAAAACTGGTGATTTAATTTTTCCTAGAGATTCTGCTGATTTTTGGAAAGTCTCTGAAGAGAATGTCCAGGGACTATCAAATGTAAACTTGCATTTTTGTGATTAACTTCTTGTCGATATCTGATTTCTCTGCTGGGGATAAAAGAGGGGTGAGGCTGCACTTTCTCTCTTTGATGCTTTACATCCTTCACTAAGTCATATACGATACAGATTGTAAATTAAGTTTTATTACTGAATAAATTGCTGGTCTTCTAACAAATTGGATGTGAAATACTTGGTAACTATATATTCAGGAATTCCACTGTGTAAGCCCATGATGGATTTTCCCTATTAAGTTAATGTCAATGTTAAATATAAAGGGTGAGTTTTAGTGCTCTTCTTGTAGACATTGAAGAGTTTTAATTTGGTGCAGGTATTTGAAGAGTGGACCTGGGAATCTTGAGAAAGATGTGGAGAGGAGGTTTAGTTATGCTTTGAGTAGAGAAGACATTGAGAATGCTGTACTTGGAGGACCATAGTCATTTTGCTTTCTAGCTGGCAAATATACAATGGCTTTATTCCTTGTTTGAAATAGTTAATCAATTCATATTTTAAATGTTTATAACTTTCATGTCAGAATGCCGTTCTAATGGAAGTACTAAAGAAATGTTTTACAATGGAATGAGGTGTTGATAAAACTAAAGAATGAGAATCTGTGTGATGACTGTTGCTACTACTTTCTAGTATTACCTGGAGGTTCGGTGCTGTAAATTGACTCAAGCTTTACAGCATTTACTTGTAGTACTACTCTATAACCAAAAGCATTAATTTTCACATATTGATTATAATTTTCAATATTTGATAGATAGTGGAAACTTAATGTTACGTTGCCAATTACCATGATGTTCCCCTTGTTTCCCCTTAACAACATTAATACTTTTAAAAGTGGTGTTTTGTATCAGGAATGTTTCAAGATTCACGGAAAATTGAAATGGGAATAAAAGATTTTTGACATAAGAGATAAATTTTTTTTATTCCCAAGTGTAAATGATAACTATTAATTAAAATTTGAGAATGAGAAGGAAAATTTTCATTCCGACATTCATACGTGAAAATAAAACTTTCCTTTGAAAATGAAAAAATAAAATAAAAATTGAACTAGAAATTATTAAATTACCCCTCGAATTTGTTTACCAATTTTTACTCGATTCTGTCTGCTAATCTGCTATGCTTTGCTTCCATAGACCTTAGAATTTAGGTATCAGTATAATTTCCTATGCCTTATAATTGTTTTTTTTTTTTTTGAATTTAAATATTGGCTAAATTACAATTTGAAATATTTTACTGAAAATAAAAAAAATCTAATATTAAACTTTAATTGATGATAATAAATTTGTTACCATCAATTATAAATTTGATAATGGACTTATTTTTCATTTTGGGCCAAAATAATTTGAAATATTGAGTTAAAATGAGAAAAAATATTAACTATCAAATTATGATTGTTGGTAATAAATTTAGTATTTTTAAATTTAAAAAAAGTAATCATTTCGCCAAATAGGGTCCCAACTCCCAATTCATCTCTTGTTGTATTATCCCAAATGGAGTTTCTTCTTTCTTTTTTTTCACTCAATCTTAATTGTTCTACTAATACAAAGGAAAAGAAGAAGAAAAAATTGAAACTCAGATTTTGCTTAACAAAGCAATGCTGTCAGACTTAACCAAAGTAACAGCTTCACATTCATGAAAACTTTTACCACGCTGTCTGGCCACTTTCCCGAGTTACAAGCCTTGGTTTCTTCAATCCGAAAATCATTGTTATCGCCACAAAGCCCAGTTCTTGCTGTAGAACTTCTGGGCAAAGCATTAGACCTATACCCAGATATCAAAACCTTGAAAAATGTCCACTCTAAGATTTTTTATCTCAATTTTCATGAAAACCCATCTCTGGGAATCAAACTCATGAGGGCCTATGCTGCCTGTGGAGAACCCAGGTTGGCACGTAAGGTGTTTGATGAAATTCCTGACAGGAATGTTGTTTTCTATAATGTCATGATCAGGAGCTATGTGAATAATCATTTGTACAATGATGCATTGCTTGTTTTCAGGGTTATGGTTAATGGTGGGTTTAGACCTGATAATTATACCTACCCTTGTGTTCTGAAGGCTTGCTCTTGCTCTGACAATTTGAGGTTTGGGTTGCAGCTTCATGGAGGTCTGTTGAAGGTTAGGTTGGATTCAAATTTGTTTATTGGGAATGGCCTCATTGCCATGTATGGCAAATGCGGTTGCTTGCTGGAAGCGCGGCATGCTCTTGATGAAATGCAGAGCAAGGATGTTGTTTCGTGGAACTCAATGGTTGCAGGGTATGCACAGAATATGCGGTTTGATGATGCATTGGAGATTTGCCGGGAAATGGAGGATTTGAGACAGAAACCAGATGCGGGTACAATGGCTAGTCTCTTGCCAGCAGTAACTAACACTTCATCTGAAAATGTTTTGTATGTTGAGGAGATTTTTGTGAATCTGGAGAAGAAGAGTTTGGTCTCATGGAATGTGATGATAACTGTATATATGAAAAACTCAATGCCCGTAAAAGCTGTTGATTTGTATTTACAAATGGAGAAATGTGGTCTGGAACCAGATGCAATCACTTGTGCTAGTGTTCTTCCAGCATGTGGGGATCTTTCGGCTTTGTTGTTAGGAAGAAGGATTCATGAGTATGTTGAGAGGAAGAAACTACGTCCAAATTTGCTACTGGAGAATTCATTAATAGACATGTATGCTAGGTGTGGATGTCTAGAAGATGCACAAAAGGTTTTTGACAGAATGAAGTTTTGCGATGTTGCATCATGGACTTCATTGATATCTGCCTGTAGTATGACTGGACAAGGCTGCAAAGCTGTCACACTCTTCACAGAAATGCAAAATTCAGGTCTAAGTCCAGATTCTATCGCCTTTGTTGCAATTCTCTCAGCTTGTAGCCATTCAGGATTACTGGATGAAGGGAAATTTTACTTTAAACAGATGACAGATGATTACAGAATAACACCAAAAATTGAACACTTTACTTGTATGGTGGATCTTTTAGGACGCGCTGGGCGAGTCGATGAGGCCTACAATTTCATCAGACAGATGCCAATGGAGCCTAATGAAAGAGTTTGGGGGGCACTGCTTAGTTCTTGTCGGGTGTACTCTAACATGGATATTGGACTTTTAGCAGCTGACAACCTACTTCAGTTGGATCCTGAGCAATCTGGTTACTATGTGTTGTTATCTAATATTTATGCAAAGGCTGGTAGATGGAAAGAAGTAACATCTATTCGATCATTAATGAGGAGAAGAAGAATTCGAAAAATGCCAGGCATCAGCAATGTAGAGCTGAACAATCAGGTCCACACTTTCCTCGCGGGTGACACTTCACATCCACAGTCAAAGGAGATATACGAAGAGCTAGGTGTGCTGGTGGGGAAGATGAAAGAGTTAGGTTATGTACCTGAGACTGATTCTGCACTTCATGATGTGGAGGAGGAGGATAAGGAATGCCATTTAGCTGTTCACAGTGAGAAGTTAGCTATCGTGTTTGCTATTTTGAATACCCAAGAGTCTCCAATTAGAATTACGAAAAACCTTCGTGTTTGTGGAGATTGCCATATTGCAGCCAAACTTATCTCTAAGATAGTTGAACGTGAAATTGTTGTTAGGGACACCAATCGATTCCACCATTTTAAGGATGGTATATGCTCTTGTGGTGATTATTGGTGAGGTTCCTGTTGAAAATTTAACTGGAACCTACCACTGTAGTTGAGGCTGGTTTAGGCCTTCTGAAGCAAACCGCAATTTGGCAACTTACATGATCCTGTATGTGATGGCAGAGAATTCTTTTATTTTTTAATTTTTTGGTACAATGAAACAATAAGGGGGCGAGCTTTAGAGCAGCGATAAGGTTGTTTCTTTTTGATCGGAAGATACAGGTTCGAGATTAAAAAACGGTTTCTTTGCATTTGTAATGCTAAAATTGCAAACAATCGACCCTGACCCTGACAATGTTAGGAAGCCTTGTGCACGGTTTTCTCCTTTTGGAACAATGGATAACAAGATCTGGAATAGAAGGGAATAAATGATCTATTGGAGGATCAATCCTCCAACATCATCACACTCCAGTCTTATAGGCTCAAACCGGTGTTAGTTGATCTTCATGTTCGATTACAAAGATTTCCTTTTTGATGCACGAAATGAGTGTTATTATCTTGCCTTCTCTTAGCATTTGTGCTGTTACTATGTTATTTTAAGGTAGCTATTTACATTGGCTATGGCTTTTGGCTGGAACATGACTCTTTTCAAGTGAGCAACTAAGGCTCTTCTTTTCTTGATCTAATTTAAAATAATTTTGATATTTACCCATTAAATTTTAAGAATAAGTACACTTTTCAATCTAGAGGAGTTTTTTCTGATTGACACTGGTAATTTCAATTCTAGTTAGGGTATCTCAGGACTATTTGGATTTTGGACCGCAGGTTGAGCAAAATAAAGGATTAAAGTAGGGAGAGACTGAATCTATGACATTTTACTTGTCACTTTTGAGGAGTTTCTGGATCGGGCTTTTTGACCCTTATGCCCCTTAATTAATAATTAATTACCAAATTGCCCCTCATTCAAAACTATTTCGAAAATTTACCCTCCCCAACAAACATAACACCAATCTGCCCCTGTTTGAAACCCCAAGGGTACCCGGGCACATTTTATCTACCCGGGTAAATTTTGAAACTTTTTATCTACCCGAGTATGTAGGGGTGTACAGATTCAATTCTTATCTGGGAAAATGTTTGAATTATTTACCCGGGTAGAGGTGACCCGGGTAAATCGCGTCCAGAAACCCCAATATGTATGGGTTTCGGCCATTGTTGCGAGGTATAGGGTTTTTGAAACCCCAAAATCTTTCTCTCTTACCATACCCATTTACCCCTTCCCCGAGTCAGTTAAGGTTATTGTATTACACATCAATTACCAAGATGCTAACAAAATGGATTGAACAGCACCTGCTGCTGCATCTGCAACTGGTCTACCCGGGTAACTCGTAATGATATACCCGAGTACATCTTACCCGGGTAGGTGGTACCCGGGTAGACCAGTTGCAGATGCTGTTGCAGATGCTGTTTTGGCAATTTTTGTTGCATTTTGGTAATTGTTGTGCAATACCTACATAAAGTGGGGGTGGATTGATTTCGTAGAAATAGGATGCAGTAATCAAGATGTGCGCCAATCAAAGTTGAAAATGAATAATAAACTACTTTGGGTTGAATTGATTTCCAAATTAATTATGACAATATTAATGCAAGGTCCCATACTAATGCATAGAACCAACAAGTTAACGTGCGCAAAACGAAAATTTCATTCATTCAAATTTTGAACATCCAGTACAAAAACATCCAAGCAATGTAGGTAAAGTTCCTAAATGTACCAAAATGACTACATTACATCAAACTAAATCAATGATATGAAACCCTATGGACACACTAATCCGATGTCGTGTCCTCCCCATTCTCTTCATCCGATTGTGTGTCATCCCCATTGTCATCATCCTCCTCCTCCTCCTCCTCCTGAGTATGGGCACCCTCGCCAATTAAACCCTCCAAGCGTGAAACCCTTGTGTCCAACCGTGCAACCCTTGTGTCCATCTGGTTTCGCCACTTGCTCGTGCTCTGTCTATATCCTCTAAAGTCAGTAGTCAGATCATATAAGTATGCAATGACATGATCAAGTGTCCATCCACCCTCAGGATTTTTGGTGGTCGCCGACTAATGGGACGTGTCGGTCTGACATCAACCTCAGCAACGCCATCATCATCGTCATCATCATCAAGGCCTACATCATAAACCATGAAAAACAAACTTCAATACCACATTAAAAATTAAACAACACATTATTGCATAAACTCATAAAGACCAACACATCACCTGCAGGTGCATCCTCCATCTCAGCATCGTGGTATGGGAAGATAAATTTGCCTTCTTCCACGTCCAGATAAAAGTCTATGAGATTAATGTTTTCACCAAATTTTCCAGCCTCTGGCGGTCTTCAAGGTCTCTGTTGCCATAGGCACTCCAAATATATTCTTATGCACCAGAAATGCAAAAGGCAATTCAGCCTTCTTTGACTTGGCTGCCTTCCACATCAGTATGAGTAATGCCTCCAGTTCACCTGCTGACTGTTTAGGGCCCACATGATAATAATCATTCCAGCACCTTTGAGTGATAATTGATAATTGTGTCACCACATAATTTTTGCGAGCAGAAACACAAGTTGCTAACAGGATAATGAGCAAAATTTTTATTTTTTTAATTTTTTTTTCCCGGTTATAATCCCAAATATATATGTTTATGATATAGATTTTCCTGAGACACCATCATATCGAACCCCAGTAGTCCGTCCAGATAGGAGCCAGTGAGGCAATGGATATCAATCCCGCATACACGGGAAGTCAGTCGCCTTGCAGTCAAGGTTCTGGTAGAAGGCTCTTACCATAACCTCCGAGTATGGGCACCGCATCTCCGCCAGGTGAAGTAAATGTGTCTGCTCAAGAAGCGGCACGATGTCAAAACGCTCTAGGTTGAAGAATGCCGAATCCAGTGATGCAATATTCCGGGTCATGAAAAACTTCACGAACTTCTCGTGTGAAGGAATGTCATCCTCAAACAAATATCCGAACGTCAAGTCCGGAGCCTGACTCGAAGCAGCCTGGGGCTGAGAGGATGACGACCCATCGTGACGACTCTTGGTTCTTCTCTCGGAATGGGTCACTGGCAGCTTTGAAACGCGTCGAGAGGTCATTGTGTCACACTATTAAACTGAAAAAATAACCAAAATCAGAAATTAGATACATGTTAGGGTTAGGGTTAGGGTTAGGGTTAGGGTTAGGGTTAGATTCAGGGTTAGGGTAAGCGTATGACATACAAATTGATAAAATAATTCGGACAGAATCAAATGATATAAACGAAAACAATGAATCAGAACAGAAATCATAACATAATTGAAAAAACTGAAAAAAAAATGCACCTTTGATCGATTTCAATCGGTAGAAGGCAGAGAGGTTGCAAGGTCCGCGAATGATGATCACAAACAAGACGAATTAGTGCAAGATTATGCCTGAAATCGCTCAAGATGACACTCCTCCAGCAGCTCTACTCGGGTACCCCTTTTGTGGGTTTTCGAATGGGGCTGCTGGGGTATTTTAAAACCCTACCGTCGCGATTTACCCGGGTACACTGCTCCGTACCCGGGTAAATAATTCAAACATTTTCCCAGATTCAAGAACTCTACCCGGGTACACCCCTACATACTCGGGTAGATAAAAAGTTTCAAAATTTACCCGGGTAGATAATGGTGTACCCGGGTAGGCTTCGTGGTCAACGGTCAAACAGGGGCAGATTGGTGTTATGTTTGTTGGGGAGGGTAAATTTTCGAAATAGTTTTGAATGAGGGGCAATTTGGTAATTAATTATTAATTAAGGGGCATAAGGGTCAAAAAGCCTTCTGGATCGACATATATGTGAATGACTAACAACCCCAAACCTTAAATGGATTGGCAGGCAGAATTCTTCTTTGAAACCCCAAGGGTGGCACATTTGTTAGCAGTGGGAGCCTCAAGAATTCGGTAGCAGATTCAATTCTTAGGAAGATTCTTTGGGCGTAGAGGTGAAAAGTTTGCACTCCTTTTTTTTTTTTTTTTTAAGTTAACTCAATCATAATTATTTCTTTGAGGCGAATTGACTTCCTCTAGATTCTTCATAAGATTCGACTCTTTGAGCCGGCTATGAGATTAATTTAGGGTGGAGGGTGATCAGATATGAAGATATACCATTTGAAAAAAGTTTGCACTCCTGAATCCTGATAGAAGATTAGTCTCACCATATCTTGATTTAATATACTCAATATTCCAAGGAGGAACTAACTTTAGGATTGTACTCCAAGCGCAAGATAATTAAGTGGAAATATCTTTTAAATTTATAAAAAAATATAATAAAATAAGAAGATCCCGAAATTAAGTTCAATTTGCACATTTATTTCACATGGAAAATGACACGTGTATGTTTTATTAAATTTACTATATTTTAAGAAGGGCTCGACTTTTAAAAATCCAGAAAATATTATTTGTATGCATATTCGATACATAAGTTAGTAAATAATATATGGCTATATATTAATTGAATAGTTGAAATATTTTTTTTTGGATAATTGTCTTCTTTACAAAAGTCCTTATATCTCTTCTATTTTACTCTCTCTTTATCTTCTCTTATCACATTTCATTATATTTTTAATACGAGTTTAATGTCTCTTATGTTTATAGAAGATAAATTTATTTCTTACTACATATAAAAGTATATGAGATTAATGTTTTTTTTCCTCTTCTCTTCACGACTTATATGGGCTCCATATATTTTTATGTGTGCGTATGAGATAATTTTATCTCTTATAATATGAGAATTATCAAATCTTTTTAGCATGTAATAATCATTTATTTGAATAATTGATAATTATGCTATTTTTTTTACACACTCTTCAATAATTGTGCAATTTTTATTTTTTTAATTTTTTTTTTCAGATGATAAACCCAACTATTATATGTTTATGACATGAGATTTTCCTTCTCATATTACGTGTTAATAGATAAGCCCAATAATATAATAATCATTTAATGTTAACAGACCCTATCGGTTAGAAACTAATTAATGAACTAGCTGTTGAGATAAAATGGACAGACATGTCAAATTAGAGAGTTTAAAGGAAAATGAAAATATTGTAGTTGTTTATTTGAAATAATTCTGCCAACTTCAGTAAACCTATTGTGTCAACTTCTGTTAAGCTCCACAAGAGAAAAATAACTCTTTAGCGTGCTCAACTTGTTAATTCATTGTACCCCTTCAGCAACGAAGAAAGACTATGGGATAACGAAACATCAGATTGGCGTATACGTTTGTAAAATCATCATTACTTATTTATTTCGTTCAAAGGAGGACCCTTCAGTGGGGTTGTTATCGCAGAAGTTAATACGAAGTTTCACAGGAAAAGAGAGAGCGAGAAAAGATGATAAAAGAAGGTGAATTGGTTGTTGTCCAAAAAGTTAATACGAAGTTTCACAGGAAAAGAGAGAGAGAAGATGATAAAAGAAGGTGAATTGATGTTGTAGAATTTAAGCACGTATCCTTATTGTACGTCTTATATCAATAAATAGTGTTGTAGAAATTAGGGATATTGGTCGTCTTGATCAATTTTGAAAGTAAAATTATCCGATTCAATTCCTTTGGTTTGATTATATAATATCCATTCAATTTAGATTTTTTTTTCAAATCCATTCCAATACAATTTTATTCAGTTTGGATTGGATTATTTTTTAATTTTTTGAAAAGCTTAAAATTTGTATTATGATTATTATGCAAATTATATATCTTTTGTATGTATTGGCTTTATAAAGTTTGTATAATGATTATTATACAATCTAGAAGTATCAGTAAATAATAATCTAATCTTTGATATAGCACAACAAAAAGTTAAAACTGGCTAAACTCGATTTCAAGTATCTATCACCTACTGGATAAGAAGAAAAATTATACAATAACAAAGTAAGATTTGACTAGGCATTTGACCCAATATGAAATCTTTGATATATCTTTTGTATTTTATTCAGTTTGTATCAATTGATGAACAAGAATAACAGAAATTGACCAGGAGGTTCAACCAATTAACTCGTAAATCGAATTCTCAATCGGTCCATTTTAGATATTTGACTAGGCATTTGACCCAATATGAAACTGGTGAATTATTTCTGAACCGGATACAATCGGCGTTAAACCCGGACACTGATATTTTTTAAAAATAGATTTTGTGAAATTTTTGACAAAATATTTAAAAAAACTGTTAATGAGATTCGAACATAAACCTATAGATTATAACTTATAGGACTTATTACTAATCTAACTCTAATTATTAGCTAAATACCTCTAATTTTATATTTATTATATATATTTAATTCACGCAATTAAATCAATAATCTACTAATTAAATCAATGATCAATTAATCCAATACTCGAGTCGAGTCAATCATGGTTCAAATTTAATAACAATCGCAATAAGACTTTAGTAAGCAAAAAGTGATAATAATGTGATCCTATTGCAATTTTAATTTCTTATTTTTTTTGGGAAATTTTTTTTGACTGATGTTATATATATATATGAACGTACTTTCTATCATTTTTAATTTGTACAATTAGTTTCTCAGACAAACTGTCATAGCATAGACTGATTACTCGCGTATTTGTGACTTTGTGTCATAATTATTAGTTTTTGACTTGACATATTTAGTTAATATGTCAGTTAACTTTTCAAGTCAATACAAGTTTTTTTAAGAGTAAATCACCTTTGGCTTCTATTTATGCTTTCTAAATCATCATATTTTGGGAGTGAATTTTCTTATGTGCTAATTAACATGATCATGTCATGTGGGTAATCATAACTATATATGGATGAGTTAATGGTGATAAGGAAGGAGAGAGAAAAATATAAGGATAGGAAGTTACACAATCATCACATGACATGATTATATTAAATTACATATGAGAGGATTCATTTCTTTTTTTGGAAACTGATACTAATTACCTCTTTGAGGCAAATAAGAACGCCCTAGTATTTCCACGAGTTCGACTCTTTGAGACGCCTATGAGACTAATCCAGAGTTCGAGTGCCAGTACAAGGATTACGATACTTATGTCCCTCCCCATGTAGTGTTGGTGTTGGTGGGATTCGAACCGAGGTCCTCTCCCACCATTCAATTCTTATGCTACTAACTAAGCCACCACACTTGAGGAGGATCCATTTATAATGTATAAGGTTGTAGTTTTTGTTTATATAAATAATTCTTTATGTACCACGAATAATTTTGGGGAGTTAAATTATATCTCAACTCAAACGTCACTCGTTGAATTGGTCTTGGTCTAGGTCAAATTTTCTCCTGTTAGAAAAGTTAATGCACTGCACACCGTAGGACACGTTCAACTTTGAGATCAAAATTAAAGGCTACAAACTACAGCAAATCCATGGAAAATTTTAGGCGAACAAACTGCTTAACATTTAAAACAATATCCACAAAGGATATTGGTGATTTGGTGCATATATTCAACTTCATTTGACCAGCAAGGATAACATAATTAAACAGGTTATACAGTTGTTGGCTCGTTTCTGTTAATCTGTTCACTTCTCTGCTTGATTTGATAATGCTATTTCAATGAGCTAACAGGGTGTTGGGCTAGAATATGGGAAATTGCATATTTTCCAGACCCAAAAGACACGCATCATAGACTTTTCTTCCCCCCAACTTTTGCTTTCACATATCCTCCAACACCTATAAAATGGTACCCCTGTCCACCATCTTGTCCAACTCAAGAAACAAACACAACATATCGTCTGAGTCACAGAAACATGGAAGTCCTCAAAAAAGCTTCACTCCTATTAGTCCCTCTATTACTCATTTCCCTATTCAAGAATTCCCATGCTGCAGGTATTGCTATCTACTGGGGCCAAAACACCCAAGAAGGCACCTTAGCAGACACTTGCAATACTGGGAACTACCAATTTGTGAACATAGCTTTCTTATCCACTTTTGGCAATGGCCAAACCCCACAACTAAATCTTGCTGGCCATTGTGATCCCCGTACTAATGGCTGCACTGGCTTAAGCAGTGACATAAAATCTTGCCAAGACCATGGCATCAAAGTATTCCTCTCCCTTGGAGGTGGTGCTGGAAGCTACTCTCTGAACTCAGCTGATGAAGCCACACAAATTGCAAATTACCTCTGGAACAACTACCTTGGAGGACAATCTAGTAATTCGAGACCATTAGGTGATGCTGTGTTGGATGGCATTGATTTTGACATTGAATCTGCAGGTGGAGGCCAACACTGGGATGAACTTGCTAAGGCACTTAACGATTTTAGCCAACAAACTAAGGTGTATTTGGCTGCAGCACCGCAATGCATATTCCCTGATGCTCAATTGGATTCAGCTATCAAAACTGGCCTATTTGATTATGTGTGGATTCAGTTCTACAACAACCCTTCATGCCAATACTCTAGTGGAGACACTAGCAATTTGATTAATTCATGGAACCAGTGGATCACAGTTCCAGCTAAACAAGTGTTCATGGGGCTTCCAGCAGCTGAGGCAGCTGCAAGTGGTGGTTTTGTTCCTGCAGATGTTCTAACTTCTCAGGTTCTTCCTGCTATCAAGGGTTCTTCAAACTACGGTGGAGTCATGCTCTGGAATAGATTCAATGACATCCAAAATGGTTATAGTAATGCTATTATTAGTAGTGTTTAATTATTTTGAAGAATAGTATTCTATATCAATGGAATAATAATCAGCACTTCTAGTTGTTGATTGCTTTATAAACATTTTATATGTAATAGTAATAGATGGCTTCCAGATAATACGACTTACACAAATTTAATAGAAAGTTCCCAATGAAGTGTCATTTTCATTCTCAACAAGTTGTGAAAAATCCATGCTTGTTCAACTCTAGAGAAATTCTTGTACGATGAAGGAGTGATATGTAGGACCGGTAAACAAGAGTTCTCCTGCTAAACCCAGAGTGATTATATAGGGGAGAATGTTCTTCCCACTCGACCTTCGTATGTTCTCTAAGTAAAGAAAATATCAATTATATGTTAAGCAAAATTGTCAATTACATAAAACACCTAAGGGTGTGTTTGGTACAAGAGAAATTTTTTGGTGACCGGGAATCATGATTAAAGGGAATTCAGTAGAAATTGAGTTTACTTGGAATCTTACGAAAGATGTGTTTGGTTCGCCAAAATATTACCGGGAATATTGGGTAAAAATTACTGATTCCATATTTGGTTTAGAACGAAATATGACTTGGAATATGAGGTTATTTTACAAAAATAACCCCAAACTATTTTTACTTTTGTAATTGATAGATTGGGTCTAGATTTTTATGTGTATTGGGGTATTTTTGTCTCAAAATTTATTGTTGTGCTTTCCTTTTACTTGGTATTCTGATTGGTATTCCGAATTACCATATTATTTTTGGTAATCTGAATAGTGATTTTTCTTTATAAATCAAATTACCAGTAATCCTTGGATATCAGGGAATCGTAAGTTATTCCTTCTACCAAACGTGGTAATTACATTTACCAAAGAAGGATTACCGGTAATCCTCACCAAAAACTTGAACCAAACACCCCCTAAAGGTATTTATAACCGGATAATAAAAATCTTAAATAAATCCTAATAATAATCTTAATAAAATACAAATATCCTTAAGCAAAATTGTCAATTACATAAAAACACCTAAAGGTATTTATAACCGGATAATAAAAATCTCAAATAAATCCTAATTATATACATAATCTTAATAAAATACAAATATCCCTAAATTACATATCTTATCAAAGATTAAATCGCTCAAAAGTATGAAACATATTAATATGTTAAGTTAATATCTTAAATAACATATTTATTGTCAAATTTAAATTATTTTTGTGGTGGAAATGAGTATATTTTCCTTTAAGGATAAATCAAAATAACAATGATTTAGTAAGTGTTACGGACCAGCCCATTAATAGGCCCAGAAGGATTGTTAAGAAGTCCAGCTATTTGGATCAGTACAGTTGCTCATAAGGAACTGAATAAACCTTTTAGATTTTGTTGTTTTGTGATAGTCTATGATTTGTAATAGGGTGAACACTCAGGCAATATTAGCCTTGAGTTAGTTACAGAATTGTTACGTGATATTAGAGCTCTTGAGAGCAAAGAAAAGGCATGAAAAGTTTGACAACCTTCCCTCTCAACTCTCTCTTCTCTCTCTTTTCTGTTACCCTTTCATTTCCCTCTGAAATTTCTGAATATTCCTAACGTTCTGGTGCTTTCATTACTTAACCTTCCTCCCTATACATCATGGCCGAAGCACTCGCTTGAAAGATGTGACTAACCGTATGGATAACCTTCAAATCGAGGTTCATCAACGCCTTGATGGCTTACAACATCATTTTGACGTTTCTGAATAATTACACAAACAACAGTACCTAAAAATTCAAGAATCCCACTCCCAGATGCAAGAGACACTAACCAGGCTACTAGCTCTGCAGCAACACAACTCTGCGGGTCACTCTGGCAGTTCTGGTATTCTAGGAGGAGGCCCACACGTTGGCTCTCAGCTTTCGAGCTCAGAAACAAACCGTTTTCGTCAAGTTAAGCTTGAATTTCCCAAATTCTCATCAGGAGATCCATCCTCTTGGATCACAACAGCTGAAAGGTATTTTCATTTTTATAATATTCCAGATACTGAACGCGTGCTTTTAGCTTCCATTTATTTCGGAGATCCAGTAGCTTGTTGGTTTAACGGATCATTTGATGATGGTTGTTTCCCTACTTGGAATGTATTTTGTGTTGCTTTACAATACCGCTTTGGCCCTTCTGAATTTGAAGACCAAGCTGGTGCATTAGTTAAACTACAGCAAACAGGATCCGTCGGGGAGTATCAATCCTTTTTTGAACGCTTGGCAAGCAAAGTTCCAGGGGTTTCCATCCCTATGCTGCGCAGCATCTTCATCTCCGGGCTCAAACCGAAGATTCATAGACTGGTGCTTAGACACAGACCTCATGATTTCCATGAAGCCTTCGCTCTTGCTCGAGTTTATGAGGATCAGTTTTCTGAAGAACGTTCACAGAAACCATGGTTCAATTTACCAAAACCTTCCACCGCTACACTCACACCCACTGACCCTAAAATAACCACCATACCAACAAAAACATCCCAACCAATATCCATCACTAATCTTCCTATTCGCAGATTATCACCAGAAGAAATGCAAGTCAAGAGGGATAAAAACCTATGTTATAATTGTGACGAGCGATATGTCTTTGGCCATAAATGCAAAGGTCATTCCACACTCCTCTATTTAGAAGGTATGGAGGAAGAACCGGATCCTCCTGATGATACAGTTGCAGTGACTTATATACCCGAAGTGGTAGTGACACCAGAAATAAGCCTTAATGCTTTATTTGGTACATCCTCCACCAGATCGTTTCGTTTACAAGGGTTGATTGATGGCCATGTAACTCATATCTTAGTAGACGGAGGGAGTACTCACAACTTTATTACACCACACATGGCCCGTTTCCTTAATTTGTTTTTGTTGTGTAATCCACCCTTCAAGGTGCAGGTGGGCAATGGTGACTATCTCATCTGCTCTGCCAAATGTTCGAAGACTCCAATTTGGATTCAGGATCATTTATTCCTCGTGGATCTCTTTGTTCTAGAATTAAAGGGAGCTGACATCGTGCTTGGAGTGCAATGGCTGGCCACCTTGGGTCCGGTTGTCACGGACTATCAAGCCCTTACCATGTCTTTCACTCACCAGGCAGCAACTATTACCCTCCAGGGGGATAATCCATTTCAAGCGAACCCAATTTCAACGGCCCAACTCCACAAGTTAATCACACAGGACTCCATAACAGCTTGTTTAATGTGTTTCCAGCCAGAGAACCACCTCTATTCGCCCCCACCCGAGACCATCTATGCAACAGAAACCCGAACCTTACTCTCTCAATTTTCAGAAGTATTTACTGAACCATCAACACTGCCTCCAGATCGCAGCCACAATCACCACATTGTATTGGAACCTGACACCAAGCCCATACAAGTTAGATCATATCGTTATCCCCATTACCAGAAAAATGAATTTGAAAAATTAGTGAAGGAAATGTTACTTACAAGAGTCATTCGATCCAGCCACTCGGCTTTCAGCTCCCCTGTCCTTTTGGTGAAGAAGAAGGACGACACGTGGCGTTTCTGTATGGACTATAGAGCATTCAATGCAGTCACAGTCAAGGATAAGTTTCCCATTCCCACCATAGACGAGCTTCTTGATGAATTACATGGTGCCGTAATTGTTTCCAAACTGGACCTCCGCTCTGGCTATCACCAAATCAGAATGGCCACTGCAGATATTCATAAAACTGCGTTCCAAACTCACCATGGACATTACGAATTTTTGGTGATGCCATTTGGCCTCTCCAATGCTTCGTCCACCTTCCAAGCAACCATAAATGAGGAGCATATTCAACACTTAGTTGTTGTTCTCACCACTTTACAAAAGCACTCCTTGTATGCCAAATTATCCAAGTGCTTGTTTTTCCAGCATACCATCCAATTCTTGGGTCATCTCATTTCGGGACAGGGTGTATCACCAGACCCACAGAAGCTACAAGCCATTGCAGATTGTCCTCCACCAAAGTCAGTCACACAAGTCCGCACGTTTTTGGGCCTTTCTAGATACTACAGAAGATTCATAAAAAATTATGCCCAAATTGCAAGCCCTTTGACTGATTTACTTACGAAGGATGGATTTCATTGGTCGGTATATGCCACCACATCATTTCAGGAACTCAAAAATAAGCTCACATAAGCCCCCATTCTGGTTCTTCCCAACTTTAAGGAACCCTTCATCATTGAAACTGATGCTTCCGGTGTAGACATAGGTGTTGTCTTACTACAAAGAGGCCACCCCATAGCCTTTTACAGCCGTAAACTGTCACCAACGATGCGCGGCAAATCCACCTACTTAAGGGAGATGTCTTCCATTACATCAGCAGTGGCTAAGTGGCATCAGTATCTTCTCGGAGTTTCTTTCACCATTTGCACGGATCATCAGAGCTTACATAACATGATGAACCAGGTGATCCAGACGCCTGAGCAACAACAGTTTTTTTCCAAACTGTTGGGTTTTAATTACACCATCATTCACAAGTCCGGTCGTTCCAACACAGTGGCGGATGCCTTATCACGACTCCTTGATACTCAACAGGGAGGAGCTCCAGCCTTATGTGCACTCACTGGTCCAACAAGCCAATATAGTTCAGCTTTACAGACAGAGCTAACTAGTGACCTTTATGCCTCAGCCATTATCCAAACACTCCATCATAATCCTTCAGCGCTTCCACATTGGCGTTTTAAAGACAACTTGCTCTTTCATCGTCAGAGACTTTTTTTGCCGGAAAACTCTCAGTTAATTCTCCACTTGTTGCAGGATTTACACTCCTCGGTCCAAGGGGGCCATTCGGGTATCAGGAGTACTCTGCTACGCATACATCAAAATTTCACTTGGAGATCTCTCAGAAAAGATGTCACAAAATTTGTGCAAAATTGTGAAATTTGCCAAAAGATTAAACCACCGAATCACTGCCATTAGGGCTGCTTCAGCCTATTTCCCCTCCTGATCATATTTGGACTGATTTGGCGATGGATTTCATCACTCACCTTCCCAGCTCTTCGGGATTCACTGTCATCCTAGAAGGGTGCTCATTTCGCACCTCTGCCACCTCATTATACAGCCTCCAAAGTAGCATAAGTCTTTTGGAACACAGTTGGTAAGCTACATTGTATCCCCAACTCGATAATATATCGGGATCCCCTTTTCTTGAGTAACTTCTGGCAAACAATTTTTCACCTGCAAGGAACAAGTCTCAGGTTCAGCTCTGCATACCACCCTCAAACAGATGGGGTCACAGAGAGACTCAACAGAAGTTTACAACTTTACCTTCGAGCCTTTGCACATGATTATCCTTCTTCGTGGGTAAAACACTTGGCTTGGGCGGAGTATCACTACAATACCACCACCTACAGTTCTACAGGCATGTCACCTTATCATATAATTTTTGGCAAGCCTCCACCGAACATGTTGGCATACACCTTGGGCTCGGCCGCAAAGGAAGCAGTTGACTCAGAAATGACAGCACAGACAGATATCCTCGCACGAGTAAAGTCCAATTTGATCAGAGCACAACAACATATGAAGGTGGTAGCTGATAAAAAGCGGAAAGACATTACCTTTACAGTGGGTGATAAGGTGTTGCTGCGGCTACAACCTTATAGGCAACTGTCGGTGCAAAGGAGATCTTCCCACAAGCTCAGCCTCCGGTACTATGGTCCTTTCACCATAACAGAACGCATAGGTCCAGTAGCTTACCGGTTGGAACTACCTGCCACTTCCCGTATCCACCCGGTGTTCCATGTGGCTTTGCTCCGACCCTTTCACTCCGACCAACAGCATCAGATCCACCAGCTCCCATTTTCTCCAACCGAGTTTCCACCCCTTCATAAACCTAAGGCAGTGGTCGCCACTCGAACTATTTGGCGTAACAACACCCAGATCCCACAAGTGTTGATCCAGTGGGACGGTCTACCACTAGAAGATTCGATGCGGGAGGATGAAAAAGAGGTCCGTGAAAACCCATCCCTGCTACTGGTGCTTCCTCCCAAGCCTCTAAGCTCGCACATTTCGGCATCACAGGATAAAAAGCTGTTGTCCGAGCAGCCCCCACACCACCAGAACCCTCCCTTGTTAGTTTCTCCTTCGATTGACTCGATTTCTTCAGTGTCCTCTGTTTTGGACAACCAGGTGGCACATTCCTCAACCCTCCAGCCCTATCAGACCACAAATATCTCACCCACCAATTTCAATCCCATCCACCCTTTTTAATATGACGCCACCTTATCCTACAACTGTCACCCTTTTAATCCCTGAGTCGGACAACTACACTCCTACTCACATCGTGGACGATGTGGTGTTTCAACCCGTGGGGGATGTTACGGACCAGCCCATTAATAGGCCCAGAAGGATTGTTAAGAAGCCCAATGTAAGAACCTGCACCGTTAATTAAGGAAGTTAATTAATTAAATATGTGAAATTAGGAAATAATTCCATTATTGACCCTAATAATTATTATGAGGCTTAAATAATTATAGAAAGTGGTTAAGAATGTTGAAAGTCATTTTTCGGAAGAAAAGTGCAGATACCGGTTCTGCTAGTCGGTATAAATGCGTACTGAAAAAGTATCCCGAAAAATTATAATAAGTGCATGATAATTCCTAGAATAATATATAGGACTTGTAAAACGAGTTTCAAGTTAAAATTATGAGAACTGGTGCTAGAAACTGATACTGGCTATGAAAAGCGCGTACCGGAAAGGTGCTCCGAAAAATATAAGAAAAATATGAAAATTCTTTTAAAATTGAGTAGGTTAGGAATCCTAAGTTTGGGATTAAAATGCTAAGCGTAGCAATTAAATTTAATACTGTGTGTTAAATGCTTAAGTGACTATATATAGGCTTATTAAGGCACAAAATCCTAGACATTCAGAACTGCTACGTGACCTTGTGGCTGATCAGCCCTCTCCCTTCTGCTCCATTTCCATCTCCTCATTGTTCTTGGTAAACCTTAACTAAGTGACCACTTTTCTTGGTGGTTTCTTCATCAAGACACTTTGTGGTTGTGAGGAGTAGCCTTGTGAGTGAGTGAGACTCCTTTTTCTGAGTATCCAGCTGCTGTGAGGGAGTGTGGTTAGGTTGTGTTCCTTGTTGGTGAGGTAAGGGTCTTTACCTTGACTTTGTGGAGCTTCATGAAGCTTTCTTTGTGAAGAAAGGAACCACCTTGGTGTGTTATTTTCGTTTTGTGTCAAAGTCAGAATCTTGAGGAGCTGTTGGTGAGCTCCAAGAGCACTCTTTCCTCTGTTCTTAAGCTTGGGTAAGTGTCACCAACCTTGATCATGTGTTTTTGTCCTCTAAAGATGAAGTCTTGGTATGTTAATGGGTTAAACAAGTAACTAACCTTAACATGAACCTAAAAACGTATAAAGATGCATGCTTGGACGTTGGAATGGCTTAAAAATGGAACCTTGGAAGTGATACTTTGCGAAATGCAGAAACTGCATTCTGTCGCGAAATATCCGGATATGGGATATACAGATATGATATCCGGATCTGGATATCCGGATATTGATATCCGGATATGCCCCCGACATATATCCGGATATTTTGGGAATTCGAAGAACAGTAGCTGCACTGTTCATACAGTAGGCTATTGGGGGTTTGTGGACCCTAGATTGATGAAGTTGAACTTCTGTTTTAATTGAACTAAGACAGAATCAAGTGGTTAAGGGCTTATGGCTTTGTGTGAAGTCTTAAGACATAAATTGTAAGAGGAAAACATAGTCTTTATGTTTATGCTTATGAGCTATGAATGTTGATATGCTTGCTGGTCCTAATCAGATTGTGATCTGCTGTGTGTTGAAGTTGAGCTGTGTGGACTCTTGGCATTGGATAGTGAGCTTGCAAGGTAATCTTTCGTGTCTTCGGTTTAGCCATGTTGTGGTTCCACCATGTCCCATGGGGGTATGGTTATATGCATGTTGTTTACATGCTTTTGATGATTTGGAAATGCTATTGAGCTGTTATATGCTAGTGCCTTTATGATATGCATGTGGTGTTCCACCTATACAGTAAGCCTGAGTATGTGGTACATATGATATGGTGAGGCTGTGGGTGAGGTGCAAACGGTGTTCCATGTACTATCTAGGTAATAGACGTATTCCTGCGTCTTTCTGGCCAGTAGAATAGTTAAACACACATGGCATGAATATCTGTTGCACTGCATAGTTTTGGAACTTATACTGAGTTACTGCTTTTTGAACTTATATTGCACATGTAAGTGAGCTTGGGGTGGAAGATCCTTGAGGACCCCCTGTCTTACTGAGATTTCTGGTTTAGAGATCTCACCCCACGTTTGGGGAATGCTTATTTCAGGTTCAGGTAATGCAGGGGTTGAGACCTCTAGTGGCAGGAGGCCACAACTTAGCTGATAGATGTTACATGTTTATGCTGCTTATGATGATATGCTGTTATGATTGGATGTTGGATCATATTTACTGCCTTATGCTTTTAGATTCAGTTTATGGATTCCTCTGTTGAGACTGTGGTTATGCTGTTGATTTGGTGAGCATGGGGATTGTCCATGCCACCTAGACTTGATTATTGTCTTGTTTTATTTGGAGTTGTAATAATGTATCAGGATCCGGACTACGTGTTGTAGATCCGTGATCTTAGATACTCACTTTATCTATGTTACGAGGTATTTCAGTTAGATGTTTATTTGCAATTTACATACAGGCGATATTTTATGAAATTGATTAAGTAATCAACTTGGCTAAGTATAATGACGTCATAATTGAAAAGTAAAAGATATTCCGTATTTTTAATTAAGCACAACTTAATACAATGATATGTTAACAAACCGGGTATACACGGGGTGTTAAATTTTATGGTATCAGAGCGACGGTTCTAGGGAAAAACCTGTATGTATTGCAATGTTTAGGATGCTTGGTTGTGTTTGTCTTGTGTGTTTGCTGCGTTGGGTTTTATTATAATGATGCATATGTAATAACACTGCGTGGGCCTGATCAACTCATAATTGTGTAACTTGTGCAGAGTCATGGTAGGATCCAGGAGAACATGAGAGACTGATGAGGGTCAACCCGACCCGGTCTTGGCTGCATTGTCTGAGATGTAGGCGGCCCGACAAGCTGACCAGGAGGCCATGAGAATGGCAAACCAGGCCATGCTGGACGCCGT